ATAGGAGCTAAAAGTTGATGGTAGGGCCCTTGTTTAAATGACATCTATGAATTTGCTGTCATCTTCCAAGTCATCTTGCTCCTGTTAGCACAAAAATTACAAGACACTTTGATTTCCATTCCCAGTGTTTTTCGAATACTTGGAGAATTTTTTTCAGCTTGGCTTTTCAACTTGTTAACTCCGTACTTTATACTCAGTGTGTATGTGTGTGTGTGTTGTGTGTGTGTGGTGTGTGTGTGTGTGTGTGTGTGTGTGTGTGTGTGTATGAGAGAGAGAGAGAGAGAGAGAGAGAGATTGCTGGATGACTGTGCTTCTTTTTCCTTTTGTTTTGAAATCCTAGAGTAAATACCCCAGGTACCATCTGCCCAATTTGTTCCAGCTTTCTTGGGAGATAAATGTTTCCAGCCATAGTTATAGAATTTGGACAAGGAGTTGATGCAATATATAATTCCTTTCCATGGGGTTTTCTATTCTGGATAAATAATTTCCTCTCCAAAGCCTAAAGCTGTGAAAATGAAAACTTGGAAGCCCCAAGTTTTCTGCAGGGAAAGACAAACAGCAACAGTCAGGAGAAAGGAAAAAGAGGCTGGACCCAGCAGGAAGGAAGAGCTATGCGCTGGTCTGGCTGTGCCACACCTCTGGTTACAGCCATTTCTGAGGTTTACGGACACCTTAGTTATGTTATCCTTTGGTTGCTAAACTATTCAAAACTCCAATTTCCCCCATAAGTATATTAAGATTATCTTTCTAATTTACGAAGTTCATGTTCTAATTAGTGAAGTACGCTAGTAGTCACTTTTGTTTACCTCCTCATTATTAGTTATGATCCTCTGTACTTACTGAGTAGTTCCTCTGAGTCATTTAATGCAAACACTCCTCCAAAATGGCTCTAGCAGAAGAGAAAGCAGGAGGAAAAGGATTATATAATCATCTTCTGGCTCAGTATTTACTGTTGGACATGGCTTGACCCAGATCCTTACCTAGAATCTTACCTGGTTCTTCAGCACTATGATTCTTATGGGCTATTTGGATCTCAATTAGTTGGCAATCCCATTTCAAGTAAAAAGTAATAATAGGAGAATGGTATTTGCATGCTCTTTTGTATTCAGAGTTAAGCATCTTAGAATTGATTCTGTCTTGCTATTAAACCTTGTGGTATAAACTTTACATATTTGAGTATTTATTGCTATAGTTGTCTCTGCCAGGAAGCCTGTTTCTTAGTCAAAAACTCTGTCTAGTGTAATGTTGTTCACCATTTGAGGCCACCTTTGATGTAACCTCCTATAGACTCTTCCCTGCTCCAAGCTTTGGAGGAAATCAGTTCCTTCTTCTTTGTCCTAAGTTTACTTAAAATTATGATTAACTGGTTGCATGTCTGACTCCAATACTGACTTGAAGCTCCATTTCCACATCAACTATGTATTCTTGGTTTGCCTGATTCTGCTTTTAACATAATGTCTACCAAGTAATAGATGATTAATAGTTATTTGCAGGGCCAAATAGAATTTGGGATAATATAGAGCCCAACCAGTGCAGAAGAAATCTTATTCTCTGCCTGGACAAATATGAATAATGACCCATCATAGAGGTGAGTAGATGTCTCTAAGAGGGATGGGAGGACCTCCTTGCTTGATGAATGACTTTCAGCCTATCACTCCTAATACAATTTATTTTTCATACCCATTGAAGTCTGAGCACTGTATGCTAACTGAGTTTGCAATCCCTGCTTCTACACAGAGATGTGCTGTGGCATAGAAAAGAGATATGAAAGATTTATAGTCCTTGTCTCTATCCTGAACAACATTCTGAATGTTTGTTTTCGTTATGACTGGTTTTATATTGAGTGGTATGATACCCTGCAGAATGGGGCAGTGTCTTCATTTCCAGGATTGGAGATGACTGCTTCATGACCCAAACCCTGACTATGCCTCTAGGTCTGGCCACGAAGCCCAAAGCTGGCCTTTTTAGGACAATGATTAAGATGTCTCCTTTAGGACAATGATTAAGATGTCTCCAGTTTATGAACTACTCTTAGGTCTCTTCCACAAACCAGCTAGTAGACATAGGTAGCAAAAGGCAATGGTCCACCCCATATACAGAACAGAAGATTCAGAAGCCAGGACGTATTTGTTCAGTGAAAACAAGAAAGCAAGAAAAATTACCAGTGTGGCTTACAAATCTAACACTTGCAGCTAGGAGTGTAGCTCAGTGGTAGATCATGTGTTTAACTTGTATGAAGCACTAGCTTCAGCTCCTGGCACCATAAGACAACCCAACACTTGCAAGGTATACATAAGTTACCAACTTTTTAGATAACCATAACCAATATTTCCTATCAACCCCATCTCACCTTGAGATACAACTTATTTTCAGACATCCTTCTGTTTATTTGCAATTGCTGAGTAATCACAAAAGGAAACCTGACATTAACCTAAGAGATGATGAAAAGGTATGCCTTGTGTGAAAACAAATCATAGGGGATACTTCAAAAATAAAATTTTTAAAAAGACTATTAAAGTATCTAAGCATTGGTCTCTCTCGGAAATCATTAATAATTAAGAGTTCACTGAACCTTAGCCTCTTGCCATTGAATATGAACTATTCAATTAGAAACATAGCTGCACAAGCTATACTAAACATTTTGGGAATAAAAATATAAGAGCCTCATACTTTCATAACAATATTAGCATGACATTAATTTAAGTGCTGTAATCTGTATAAGCTGCTACTCTTGACTTTTAAGCAGCTGTACAAGCAAAAAAATTAATCCAATATTAAGTGATAATTTTTATAATGTTAACTTGAGATAATAAGATACAACATGCCTACCTTCCTCTTTATGTACCACTACTAAAAACATTAATTTTATTGTTAAAGTGATGTGCACAGAGAGGTTACAGTTACATAGTAAGGTAGTGAGTACATTTCTTGTCAAACTTGTTACCTCCTCCCTCATTTTCTCCACTTTCTCTCCCTCCAACCCCCCCCCACAACAACACTACTACTTTCCCCCCAAGATTAAGAAAGGAAACAGAGAAAAGAAAGCAAGGCAAACTTGTGTCATCAACAGAGACCTGAACCATAGAATTAGCACTTTTCTCTGAGGCTACACTATTCTGCGTGTTTTTGCTGGTGGTTCTTGGTTATTGTTGGTTCCTGACAGCTCAGAAACTTAAGGCTTCTTTATTTTCTAGAAACTATTGCTTCTCAAGGTGCTAATTCAAATGTTTCAAGTTTATATACCTAGTACGTACCAGATTAAAGCAGAGATACCATTGATAATTTAAGATTTAGTTTTCGTTTGGCATTTTTTAAACTCCTTTCTACCATCTTAGAATCACCACAGCAAGGCAACTTCCATAACCCAGAGAGAATGATACCTCTGTTTGCCACCTGTGTCAGTGAGCACAAAGGACTCATGGCTCACAAAGAATAAATACATATGCACATAACAGTGCTGACAGACACATTCCTGTCCTGGAATGAATGTCTATCACTATTTCTGATGCTCTCTGTCTAATTAACCAGTGGCTCCTAGTCAGAAGCAACAATGCTTGTTCGAGGTCATAGTGTAAAAAGAATGTTTTACCCAACTCTTAGAAAGAAAAAAATAAAAAAAACAGTAGGACAGGGCTATAAATGATTGTGGATGTATGTGTTTTGATGAGTTGACATATACACATCTATTCTAGTTCTGACAACTGAAAGGGTCTAACTTCAGGGATACTCCGATGACGATCCCAAAGTGTGAAATAAATCTATATGAGTCCACACTGATATAAATAAATTGCTAAGTACATAAGAGGAAAAAGAAACTAATTTTTGTTATATAAGAAATTCAGATTCTATATGCAGATACTTCCCTCCACCATCCCCTACCCCAGATTAAGGACTGGAATTAGTGACTAGCTATCAAGTAACAGAATATGAAAAGGGAAAAAAGATAGTGGATAGCCCCTGGCCAAATGGTAGCCATAGCGGACATCATCAGGGATGAGTCAGATTGGTGGTGTATAACAACTGATATCAGGCCATAAGAAGGATGCGTCATTCCTCTTCCCCTAAACCCTAACCCTAAAATAATCAGAAAAATAATTGTAAGACCCTAATTAGGGGATATTTTACAAAATGATTAAATAGTACTCTTCAAAATAGTCAATATATTAGATGTCTGTGGCATGTCTGTAATCACAGCACTTAGGAGACCGAGGCAGGAAAAAAAAGATGTTAATGATAAAATGTGCAGAATGAAAATGAAGTGTGGAGTTTAGTTAATAGTAATGCATTGATCATTGTCTCTTAATATTGCTGAATTAATCATTTTGGGTGGGATAGTTGAAGAAGAAGGGAAATACAGTGTTAGGATTGCCCCTCTGTGCCCAGCATCTATAGCACAGTACTAGTTACAGGACCATGAAGTCAATTCCAAATCATGGATTCATGGAGTATTAATCAAAATAGGAGGTGACTTGATTTGGAGGGAAGATGTTAAGACTGAGTTTCCTTCCATCTGTATCACGTTAGGGACTGCAGGTGATTGAGGAGACATGAGATTAGAATCCAGGGATTAATCTGGCACAAAAGTATAGATTCCAGTGACAGTTTTACTGCTTAGGAATTTGACAACTTTAAGAAGGCAATAGTGGGAGCAAGTACAGCATCACATTTGGCCTTCCTGATGTTAAATTATTTGGCTGTGCTAACAGTTACAATTCAGAATGCAATATCCATCGAAGCATTGTCTTCTAATACTTATCTCTAGTTAACAGATGTTTCAAAAAAAAAAGTCTTAGAAACCTAGGGCTTGCTGACATAGAATTTTCTCTAGAAGTCCCTTTTATAGAATGAGAATAGTCCCTTTTTTAGAATTTTATACTTCCCTTTTATAGAATTAGCAAAGCCTTGTGACTGTGACTGGTGTCATATACTTTACTGCTAGGGAAGTTGAAGTCTCTTTCCTTTAGAAACTTCTCAAACTGGTGTATGCCATGTCTCCCCAGGTACCTCCAGATCCGCAGTCCCTCGGTGTAAACCTGGAGCCAATTGTCCCAGTTCACACAGTGGCATCAGTAGACAACTATCCCCACTCTCTGTCACAGAAGATTCTTCTGCTCCTATTCTTGAACTTCAGAGCCGAGGAGCCTCTGGAGTTTGTGGACACAGAGTTGAGAGACCGAACAGAACAGGTATGTAGATGATTTCTTTAATAATACATCTCAATAGCCTTCTAACCAGCTGGGAAAGAGCTTGTCTTGATTGCACAGAATGCAGACAATAGGAGGAAGAGGGAAATGTAATAGGTACAAACTATTAGGGCTGCATAGGGTAGCTAGAAATTGAATAGCAAACCTGTAGGTGAAGCATTTAGCACATGGTCAGACAATGACTTCTAATTACATTTTCAAGGTAGCTGGTTTCTACAAAGCATCAAAACTTACATCTTTGTGGACCAGACCTTGGACTCAGTAATTACATTCTGTATCTATTCTGAAAAGAGTTGTAGTATCAGTAAAATCATAGACTTCCTCTTGTTCTCTTTAGACTATTACTTCCTAGTTCATTTCCAGTTTTCCTAATTTTACACTTCGGCAGGAAACTTTACCTGTCTCTATGATTAAAATTTTCTCACCAGTTAATATCTTCATTCTCCCCCATATCCACTCCAACACACCAATTCCTGGGCTACTGGAATTACTCAATAGATCTAATAATTATGCCCATGAGTTTCCCAGAAAAGTTTTAATTTCTAAATAAAGCTGGATCCACTAGATTGCTGCCTAAGGCCATTGCTTTTGGGGGATAGACATCTCATTTCCTATGTCAGAGAATGCTCTCAAGCTTCAAGTTCATACTGACTTCTTCCCTTCATAAATTACCCATTCACCTTCCAAAAAAAAATATAGAACAAAGCCAGGCTCTAGTGGTTTGCACCTGTAATCCCAGCTTCTTAGGTGGTTAAGACTTGAAGGATTGTTGTTCAAAACCAGTCTAATCAGAAAAGTCTATGAGACTCTATTTCCAATTAACCAACAAAAGGCTGGACTGGAGGTGTGGCTCAAGTGGTAGAGTACTAGCAGTGAACAAGAAAGCCAAGCAAGAGTATAAGGCCTCTGAGTTCAAGCCCATGTACTGGCACACACACACACACACACACACACACAAATTGTTAATAAACATTTTCCTCTTTATAATGATCACTAATAGCTCTCTTCTGGCGTGGGTGTCTTTCAATCTGACTTAATACTCCTTTTTACATCCACCTGAATCTATGTATGATTGTTTCCTCTTCCCTCTCCCCTGCATGTGCAAGGTCTCCTTCTCCATCTGTTCCTGCCTCTTGGTGGGCCACATATTAAAATCTCATTCATCTTTAAAAACAGTAACAACAGCAAAAACAGCAAAACACATCATCCAAAACAGATGGGTAATTAAAGAAAATCAATAAACCAGAAGGCTGGGAAAACTTGTTTTTTGAAAATGAAGTATAATGTCAATTCAGGGAATTCAATTAGGGGTGGATGGTAAATTTTAAAAAGGAAAGTAGTGTGGAGAAGATATGAAAGCTTCTTCTAGGGTCCTACTAGATTGGGAACAGATTTTTTTTAACATGAGAAAAGACCTTTAAGAAAAAAAGAAAAAGAATATTTTCTAAATTGTGTCTCAATAACTGTATGAACCCCAAAGAATAAAATTATTTTAAAAAATTAAGACAATAATGTTTCCTTAAGTCTTTAGAAAGATTTAATTGGCTTGATAAATCACAGCCATACTCTAATTATCCTAGTTGTTTGCGAAACAGTGTTCTAGTTAATTAAATACACTGGCTATTAAAACATGCCCCGTCCATCATACACAAGTCACAAATTCCAAAGACCATTCCATTAAAGAACATAAGTTGCTTTCTGTGATGATTAGAAGGAAATTAAGGACCAAAGAGAAGAGAGAAAAGGGAAGAATCTGAAGAAGAGCTCACCTTGACTTCATGAATGCTCTGGCACTTAACCTCTAAATGAATCTCATGAGATGCAGCTTATGACAAAGAAGCTGGGTCTGAAATTAGTTATGTACTCAAGGACATTTAGTCCGCTCAGCGAACTAAATTCACATTTCCTAATACTTTCTATTGATAGCATTTCAAGAAAGGCTCATAGTAATAGATGGAATCCCACGTATATGCCTGTAATGATGTACATAAAACTATAAACCTAATCAGGACTATAGAAGAGCTCTAGAAATCCAATATTTCTATGCATTGTAAAAATTAAAGAATGTGTCCATGTAATTGTAACCCCTCTATACGGTATTTTCACAATAAAAAAATTAAAGAATGGACAGCAGCAAAGTCTAGCTATCAGAAGAAAAACTGGCCATCGGAGGGATTTGGATGACCATTAGTGTCTCCAAAAAACCTGTTTATGATGGAACAATAGTTCAGAAGCGATCTTTAAAGATGGTGATGATAAGGAACATTTCACTACAAAGAGATGCTTATTATTCATCCTTGATGGGACAATCCTCCAAGAAAATGGGATTTGAAGGATAGAAGAATACACCTTTTTCTAGACTATCACTTCTCTTAAACTTCATGCAGAACTTCATTCCTGACAGCAAAGAGAAATGTTTCTTCAAACTATTTCTGAAACTTCCAGTGCTCACATGAAAAAGTAGAAATCTGAAAGTCTAGACAAATGAGGGTTCCGGAAAAAAAGTTCAGATCCTAGAGATATTGTGACTTGGGTTTCCAATCTTGGATAATTCATTTTTTTTTTCTTTCTTTCTTTCTTTTTTCTTCCTTTCCTTCTTTCTTTCTTTCTTCCTTTCTTTCTTCCCTTCTTTCTTTCGTTTGTTCTTTCTTCCTTCCTTCCTTCCTTTCTTTCTCTTTCCTTTTCTTTCTTCTTCTTTTTTATTAGTCATGGGCCTTAAACTTAGGGCCTGGGTATTGGCCCTGAGCTCTTTTGCTCAAGGCTGGTACTCTATCACTTTGAGCCACAGAGCCACTTCTGGTTTTCTGGTGGTTAACTGGAGCTAAGAGTCTCATGGACTTTCCTGCCTGGGCTGGCTTTGAACCACAATCATCGGATCTCAGCCTCCTGAGTAGTTAGAATTACAGGCATGAGCCATCAGCACCTGGCTTTGAGTAATTCTTCGTGAGTCTGTTTTCTTCATCTGTTAAGTGGTAATGACAGTACCTACTGAATAAGGTAGGTAGTCTCTCATTTGACATCTTTGTTCATCTAGTTTGTCCCCCACCCTGCTACAACCTCATCTCTGTGTAATTTACATGGGCATTGAGGGAGGTTTCAGAACTCTTATCAAGAGCAGGTATCATCTACATGCAGTTTAGAGAGCTGACCCATTCATGCTTCCGCACTCAGCTCAGTGCCACTGAATTCTGGAAGTTTCTCCTGGATCATTTCCTATCCTTCCACTCCTCCCACCCCATTAGTTGGGTCCTCATCTGCCAGAACAGCTCCTTCTCACCCTGTATTGAATGTGTTTTCTGGTTTTCCCTTAGTCTATGAACTCAAGTCTTTCATCTTTCAACCCTAGAGATCCAACCAGCTAACTAATTTCTAGGAGAGTCTCCAAAATGTTTTGTTGAACAAATAAATAAGAATACCACTTTTTATCTTCTGGAGTTCTAGGCCCTCAGAGTTCTGTAATGTTTATAATACTTACAATTCATGTAGTCATAACTGTGTTCATACTTCATATTCTCAGATGAAGACTTCATTTTTAAAGCTTGCATCTCTCCCAGATGCTATAATTATAGCAGAACACCTTAGTTCAGTAAAGGTTTAGCTGGATAAAGGTTTTTGACCAGAAGTAAGTGGATAATCATGCCTCACTCACCAGGCTATAGAAACACATTCAGCCACAGGTTCTGCAGTAAAAATTAAAGGGCCCATCCACTGCTACTTACAACCTGTGTACCATACCACACCTTTCTTCACTCCCATTAAAGTTCTTGAACTAAAGGTAGGTGTCTGGGGATACAAGGAAATCTTGCAGAACAATCTGCCTCCCCTCTGCAGGATGCTAACAGTATGGGATCTCAGGTTTGGGAGTCAGCCTGGCCTCTGCTCCCGTTCAACTTCCTGATGGGTACATGAATTCATTATGTCCAGTTCTTTTTCTCTATCAGGTCTTCATGATTGTCAGTGTTAGAAAGCTTTGAGTCGTTTAATGGGGAAAATGCTATTAATATTTTTAGTTAAATAAAAATACGAAGTGGAGCCTATTGTGTTTCCAGAAACATATTAAACAGTAATTTGTTAGAAGGCAGGGAATGACTTAGTATGGTTCAGTCATACTTTTGGTGTTGGGACACATTGTTTTTCAATTTCATAGTCATCTTTGCTAAGATTTAAAAAATAGCCCAATGAAATTAAACAAATATTTGTTTCTCACTCATGTTTCATGGTAGTAGACACAGGGCAGTTGTGGCTAGACTCTGCTCGTTTCCCCTCAAAGACTATTTGCGATTTTCCATTTTTGTGATGGAGGAGGGGAAAGCGTGAGAACTGGAGGGTAAAATGTATGATGATTCTTAGAGCTTCTGCTGGGAGGTGGCATACCTCACATCTTCTTAGATTTGACTGGATAAAGTAGACCACATGGCCACAGCCAGTCTTGGGAATGCTCTTAAAGGAATGAAGCAGAATGGATATCATTGGCTCACTCCTACAATCCTAGCTACTCAGAAAGATGAGATCTGAGGATCACAATCGATAGCCTGACAAGAGCATCTGTGAGACTGAGATTCTTATCTTGAATTAACTACCAAAATCCAGAAGTGGATCTGTGTTTCAAATAGTAGAGCTCCATCCTTGAATGAAAAGGCTAAGCGACAGTGCCCTGGCTGAGTGCAAGCCCCTGTACTGAGCCGAACTGTATTTAGAGGAGCCAATTTCAGAGGGAAGAAGATCTGAGTAACCAACACTATTAACTCCACTTTCTGCCTCATCTTTTTTTTTTTTTTTGAAGAGCTGACACATTTGATCACTGTTTTATGACCTGATTTCCACCCATTTGTATTCCTTTCCTGTCTTCAGGGGATGATGGGACACAAACTCATCCCGAGAACAGCAGCCAAGAAAACAGAATCAAGGCTCGCTGCCTGTCCTGCACGTCCATGGTTCTGAAGGGCGTCTGGGGACTCTTGATCATCTTGTCAGTATCTTCGTCTTGGGTGGGAACCACTCAGATTGTGAAAATTACTTATAAGAACTTCTATTGTCCATTTTTCATGACATGGTTTTCCACAAACTGGAACATTATGTTTTTCCCAGTCTATTATTCTGGTCATCTGGCCACTGCTCAAGAAAAGCAATCTCCAATGAAAAAATTCAGGTAAGATTCATATTTAATGGTCTATAGGAACTATTTGGTGTTTTATATAATTATGCATGCTTTTTGTCTCTTTGGAACATAAGTTGAGTTCAGCTGGGGTGTGTGGAGAAGCAGAATTTAAGGTTGGTAATGAGTAGGAAGAAATAGTCATCCCTTATGTAAATTTAAAAAAAAAATCTACAATATGCTAGGCACTGTACTGGTGCTTTTATATATCCTGCTTTATTTCATCAGCACTGTAGGAAACAATGTTCACTTCTTTTTTTTTCTTTTTTTGTACCTATCCTGGGTCTTAAACTCAGGGCCTGAGCACTGTCCCTGTGCTTTTTTGTTGAAGGCTAGTGTTCTTACCACTTGAGCCACAGCTCCAATTCTGGCACTTTGGTAGTTAATTGGAGATTAGAGTCTCATGAACTTTCCTGCCCAAGCTGGTTTTGAACTGTGATCCTAACTCTCAACCTCTCAAGCAGCTGTGATTACAGGTGTGATGCACCAGTGCTCAGCAATGTTCACTTTTTAAGGTGGTATTCTTATCCCCATTTTATAAGATGAAATAGGTTTAAAAATGTTAAATGACTTGTCCAAGGTCAAACAGTTATAAATAATAGAACTCTGATTTCTCTTCAGATCGATTTCTCTCTGAAAGTCATTTTTTTGGATAAATATCCAGGTGTTTCAAACTCAGAAAACATCTGTATTTGTAAGATTGTTACACAAAGGTTTGCTCAGTATTTCTGACACCAGTATGTATAAGCAGAGGAACTGACCTAGTTACATGCAATAGGAGGTTTGGCCCTGGGAAGCTGAAGAGATGCCATTCTTGGCTGGTTTAGAGCATTGTCTATTGTTTGCTCTGAGCAGAAGTGGCTGGGCTTTCATGACAATCTTGTGTTTCTAGTGGTTCCTTGTGCTAAGCCTGGTTTCCACAGGCCCCGATTCTGGGAGAAGTCAGGAAGCTGAAAAAACTAGCATTCTATATCTTTACACAGGACTCAAAGAAGGCAAAGGCAGCATTTGGGTGAAAGTTCCTTTGCCAGTAAACAGTTTCTCAAAAAGGAAAAATCTCTGAGCTAAGGAATAATATATCCAGAAGAACTACCCCTCATTGTTGAGAGAAATCAGGGAGTGGTTTGCAGCAGAATGAAGTCAATTTGTATTGCAGGAACCCAGTAACCTTTCTTTCTCTTCCACATACCCGACAATAACAACAATGCTCCTTATAATTGGTACCTTAGAGTACTCTTTACATGTTAACAAACTGTAGTGAATTTTTTTTTGGTTGTTGTTGATCGTGGGGCTGGAACTCTGGGCTTGGGCGTTGTCCCTAAGCTCTTCAGCTCAAAGCTAGCACTCTACTACTTGAGCCACAGTGCCACTTTCAGTTTTCTGGTGGTTAATTGGAGACAAAAGTCTCACGAACTGCCCTGCCTGGGTTGGTTTTGAACTGCGATTCTCAGATCTCAGCCTCCTGAGAAGTTAGGATTACAAGCGTGAGCCACCGGCGCCCAGCTTTTCTGTAATGAATTTATCTTTAACTTTGTTTCCTGTCTCCAACTTAGAAGGACTTGAGAATAATAAAGTCATGGTGTGAGTTGATTATCTGTGTGTAAAAACGGATTTTTTAAAAACCATTTTCCAGCCAGGCACTAGTGGCTCATACCTGTAATCCAAGCTACTCAGGAGGCTGAGATTTGAGGACCGAGGTTCAAAGCCAGCCTGGGCAGGAACATCCATGAGACTCTTATCTCCAATAAACCACTCAGAAAACCAGAAGTGGCGCAGTGGCTCAAGTGGTAGAGTGCTAGCCTTGAGCTGAAGAGCTGAGGGGCAGCGCCCAGGTCCAGAGTTCAAGCCCCTCCACCGACATAAAAAATAAAATAAAAAAGTCCATGCAAACTCAATTATTACAAAAGAAACAAAAAGAAACCCAAGAAAAAAAATATATGCTTAGGAAAAAAGAAAAGAGCCCCCTATCTGTTGTGATGTCTAAAGGTATCCCACATTTGTTTCCCATCAAAATAGACGAGACCTTAGGGCATATCATTTTAAGTGACAATATTTAACATGAAATAGCAGGGCAAGGTGATTACTGGACTAAAATTGTTGCCATTTGAAAATAGCTGTGTCATATAAATAGATTTGCACTGCTCGGCTTGTGTATTTCTGTTCTTGTAGTATAAACACAGGTTGACTTTAAAAGGAGCGGGGGGGGGGGGGGTGGGGGGGGGGAACAGAAAGTTTCTTGAAAGGCAAAAGCTCAAGAACATTTTAGAGCAAGCCATACCAGTTTTAGCTAGGGTAGCATAGTAACTACAGGCTGCTCCTGCTAGAAATGTGGTTGAGAGAATAAACTTCCTCTTCCTCATATCTCCCATGTTGGGCTGATGCTAAACTTGGCAAAATCTGTGATTTGACCAAAAAAAATCCCTCCTGTCGGTGTAGGTAGCACTGAAGTTGGACATTTCTGAAATCAAATCAAAGAGCTTTTCCTCTCAAACAGAGAATATTGTCTTTAAAGGAATTGTTCTCCAGTGAGAATATATTAGGCGTCAACATTGTCAGAAAATCCTTAGATCCTCGCTTTTTTCCCCTGTAGACTCATTAACACCATCTGCCAAGAAGGTATTCCCAAAGCTCTCACGTCTGAATGAGGAAAAACATAGAGCTAGTGAATAACAATGGAGATAGAATTTGTCCCATAGCACCAGAACTTCTATTTTTCTCCTGAATGCTGTGAAAGTATTTCCAGGGTTGTTTTTTTTTTTAACTTATCCGTGACATCAAAAGAATGTTCAGTAAAGTATCAGATCTAGACAGTAAGTCTTGTCCATTGGAAGCAGCTTTTGTCGAGTTCGTTATTCCAAAGGCCTCAAGTGTATTTGAGAAATTTTGAAGAGAAAAACGTGTGCCATAGTTTTCACAAGTGTGCTTTCTTCAGAAAAGAATGAATTTGAATCAGAAATATGCTATCCTTTGTCTGATACCTGTGATGCTGTTTGGCATACAGAAATGGTTCAATAACTAGTAGTTACATTGTTGGACATAATTAAATTACTAACACCCCCTGGCTTCTGAGCTTCATTTCAGTTGTTTTTTACTGGTCAGTGCCTCTTGTCCAGAAATTCTGGTCTTTTCACCCTAAAGTGAGACTTACTATTAATTGCTCCTCTGTAAAAATTCCTTTTTTGTGTGTTCACCTTCCTTAGTGGCTAATGCTTATGAAGTATAAAGTTTTACACAAGGGGTCCAATGCTTGAATAGTGTTTCTCAGAGTATTTAACCTCGTTACAACAGTAATGATACATGGCGAGGTTGGCAGTGAGAGGAGATGGGAACAGGAAAGGGAATTGTCAAGAAGTGGACACGTTGGGGACAGGACCAAGCAGGTGAGAACTGTCTCTGTGGGGCATCACCTGCTCTTCTGTGGAAGAATGGAGTATTCCTGTGTCTGCATCCCAAGGCTTAGCATTCAGCCCAGCCTGATAGTTCAACTAAGTAAGGAGAATTATCACTGGATAGGACTGGCAAGGAGAAAGAAAATCTACTTCAAATCAGAAGTGAGTCTTGTTGTAGCTTGATAAATGTGTATTTACAAAAGCGTCTGATGGTTCTGTGTGACAGTATAAACCTTTGTCTCTCAACCCCAGCTCTCGAGGGAAACTTTCTCATGGAGCTGGTCCCCTTTTAAGTGCAGAAGAGAAATCGCGTGCCCGGGATGTTCCAGGAGCACTGCCACTTGTTCTATCTGCCAGGCTGCCTCAAAAGATCCCAATGGCTAGAGTGCTTTTGAGGCGCCATTCATGTTCCTGAGTGTGCACACACATGGAATTTCTGTATACTTTACAGAAGGCTTTGCCTTTAGGATATTTGTTCCCTTCATTGAAGTCTCTGTCTGATATGTGTTTCTCTCAAGGTACAATTTGCCTTTGGGAAATCTCCTTTTCATTTAATGATAATTCTCCCTTTTTTGTTTGTACCCCACATAAAAGGAAAAGTACAGCACAGGGTCTATTGTGCAACGTGCATTTCTTTTTTTAAACCTTCTTAAAAACCACTGACCCACGGCTCCCAGCATTCTCAGCTGCTTAGAAGTAGCCTTTATTATGACCCTTGACATTTAAGACTATGTTCTCTATTCTTTGAGTGTTTCAGTTCCTCACGCCACGTGTCTTCACACATGATACGCATCTTCTATGTATGAGGCAAATACTTTGGTTTTTTTTTTTTTCAGTGCTTTGGGGCACAATGTTATCTCTTCAGTAAAAGCTGAATGAAGAACTAATGCTGGTATCTATCTAGAGCCATGTTCATACATTTCATTTTACACCTGCTCAAATATTAGTAACTTGCTACTTTGGTGAAGATAGCTACACTGCTCTTGAAAATACAATGCTAGGAAGTGTTAGCTGCGCAGAAAATGCTAGAATGTTTGTGATCAGCTGAGTGAAGAAGACAGAGCTAAGTTTCTCCCAGTGTAAGTGTTTTCACTTCATAGTCACATAGACACTGTCATTGTGTCGATTCTCTTATTACTTGTATGTATTAGTAGCTGGAACATTTTGATTAAAATGATCCCTTGGGCTAGGTAGCCAATTTAATCAGATGTTAGACAAATCAGAGATTTAATTGAAGTGATTATTTTCACACCCTGAATTCAAATGATTCATCCAAAATGCTTGAAGCCTATAAGTAAGTACAACTTGAGTTATATACCTAGTTTTTCAAGTCTTGGTTTGCTATTTTCAGGGTTATCACAGAGTTATCAAATTTTCTACCTTAAAAAATGTTGGCACTGCTGGGAGCCTGTGGCTCATGCCTATAATTCTAGCTACTCAGGAGGCTGAGGAGTGTGGTTTGAAGCCAGCCCATGCGATTCTTATTTCCAATAAGCTACCAAAAAGCTGGAAGTGGAACTGTGGCTTAAATGGTAGAGTATGAGCCTTAAACAAAAGAAGCTCAGGGACAGTGAGTAGGCCCTGAGTTCAAGCCCCAGAACTAGCACACAAATAATAATATCAATAATAATAATAATGGCAGAAAAAGAAATCAGTCAACTGAACAGAGATATTAGATAGATTCATAGTGTCTCAAGAAGAACAAAGTTCCAAGATATGTGTGGCTTCACAAACTTTTGAGGGTTCCATGGAATTCTGGGAGTTGTCACATGTTACAGCCATCTTGACCATGTCCCCCATTATTCCTGTCCCCCATTGGGAATCTTAAGCTTCCCTCAATAGCTAGTGGCTTTAGTGACTCCTATTTCTCTATTTCTCCAGTCTTCCCTGATAGTTCAGACTCTGTAGAATGGCTGCTATGGAAGAAATTATTTGGGTGAGAGAGGGCTTAGCCAGAGCCAAAGAGTTGTGGGTTCTTTCCTAAGGGACCCTGTGTACCCCCTGAAGCCTGTAAGGGACCAGAACTATGCTTAGTGTCTTCTTCAGATAGATGATGGACTTGAGAGTTTGGGGTCACCATTAGAACATTAGGCATATTAACCTCTTTTTCTTTCCTAGGGAATGCAGTCGGATTTTTGGTGAAGATGGTCTGACATTGAAACTCTTTCTTAAAAGAACTGCTCCCTTTTCTATCCTATGGACTTTGACAAATTACCTGTACCTACTGGCTTTAAAGAAGCTGACAGCCACAGATGTCTCGGCTCTTTTCTGTTGTAACAAAGCCTTTGTCTTCTTGCTGTCGTGGATTGTGCTGAAAGACAGATTCATGGGAGTGAGGGTAATGGCACCTAATTCAATGCGTGATGCTTCCCTTCCTCTTAAATCGTGGCATTCCAGCTGCTTTGCTTCATGGAGTCTGTGTAAAGCTTTTACCATTGGTTCTGAGTCCAAAAAAAAAAATTGAAGATGTGTTAGGAAGCCCTGGCAGTTTACAACATCTTGAAAAGATCAAAAGGATTGTTTCTACTAGGGAGTCAGCTGATTACAACAGGAAGCACTAAAACAGACTGATTAATTCCATTTTTAGAGTTAACTTTTAGAATTAATATTGTGGCCAACTCCTTCTGTCCTCAGGAAAAAGAGTCTGAGAAAATAAGCCACAGTAAAGATTATGATTTGCTTTTTTCAATCAACTTATTTTGGGATAACTCCCTCCTTCCCCCACCCAGATGGAGTTAATTAATATTGGTGTGAGTAGATAAGATTGCCAAACAGTAATTAAAGTCACTAGTAATGGCACAATGCTATTAAAAGTGGCTATATATCTTAGTGTGACTAATCTAGAAATTGAACTAAAAGCAACAACTTGTACTTTTGGAGTCAAAATCCTCAACTGAACTGTGTTAAACATACACCAACCACTTCAGTGCTGAGTGTATTTCTTTCCGTAGTAACATGGATTTTAAAGAAAGAAACATTTTTGTGCACTTGTTCTACATTAGAAATAGAAAAGTTGGGAAAGCATGTAGATTTTAGGAGCCAGAGCTCATGCATATCATTTGGCATTCCACCATGATGAAAAACCAGAAAATTCTTCACAAAGAAGTCTGAATGAATAGCCATTTGCCTGGAGTATCAACATTATACAACTTACTCTCCTCTGAAAGAGATGCCTAAGAATGGATTTAAAACATACTGTTGGGCTGTGAAGGTGGCTCAGTGGTAGAGTGCTTGCCTCACATGCATGAGGCCCTGGGTTCGATTCCTCAGCACCACATAAATAGAAAAGGCCGGAAGTGGCACTGTGGCTCAAGTGGTAGAGCACTAGCCTTGAGCTGAAGAGCTGAGGGAAAGTGCCCAAACCCAAAGTTCAAGCCCCACAACTAACAAAAAAAATACTGTTACCCAAACATTAACTCTCTTGGCAATGATTCCAAGACCTTTGTCCCTTCCCAAATGCTGAGGTTGCTGTTTATATTAGAGAGAAAAAAGGAGAGAGACAGAGACAGAGAGACAGAGACAGAGACAGAGACAGAGAGAGGTTATATTGTCATTAACACTCAAAACTTTCCTATTTAAAAAAAAAGTCAATTAAGGGTCTGGAGGCATGGCGCAAGTTGTAGACTACCTACAACAGAGCATGAAGTCCACAGTTTAATCCCCAGGACCAAAAAAAATAAATAGGTAACCAACTAAGAAATAGGCTCTGTGTATTGTGCCAGTTACTTGGGAGATAAAGGCGGGAAGATCATTTGGGCTCCAAAGTTCAAGGCCAGCCTACCTCTTAGAAAAAAGAAATATAGCCACTCAAAAAACTTTGGGTATATTTCAGGAAATGCTATTCAGAAATTCAGAACTAAAGCTTGACATAAAAATAAAGAGAAAGCTTTAATAAAAAAGAAAATGGGAAACCATGAGTCAGTCCATGATACCATTAGAATATATCAAATCTGATATCCAATTTTCTACTAGCATAACCTTAGATTTGTCACATAGGACTCAGCATTGTGTATTTTTACTGGAAAGACCAGTGCAGGCTGGCTACCATCAAGGACACTGACAAGTCCTTGACCATAAAAACCTTTCTTCTATTGTTTACTATTCTATTCAGGATGGGCTGTATCATTTTGGGGTGCTTTAGAACACTAAAGTATAAATAGCTTTTTATTTTTGTCTGAGACCTGGACTCAAACTTGGTACCTGAAGCTTTTGCTCTTTGGCCGACACTCTACCAAACAGAACCATGCCTCCGACCCCAAATATAAATTTTACAAAAAGTAACTTTAACACAGTAACCACAGAACAAGAAATCAGGTAGGGATATCTTAGTATGGGGCCTATATACCTACCCAGGTCATGCACCATAAAGTCATCCCTGGCTTTATATCCAACACCTAGAATAATGCAGGGCACAAGATAAGAAGAGGTCAGTTGATACTTGAAAATACAAGGAATGAATTCATGAAAGCTTTCTCGTCGTAGATAGATAGATCAATCGATAGATCAATAGATATGCCGATAGATAGATAGATAGATAGATAGATAGATAGATAGATAGATAGATAGATAGATAGATAGATAGACCGACCACAGACACTTGTAAGGCTGTGGAGGGTCTTGTTAGCAGATGGCAAAAGACAGGAGATATGGGGTTTATTTTCTGCTCAGCAGCATCTAGATACTAAATGTTAAAAAATCAATACAGTCACTGTTACCTTAACCAGTGAGAAATTCAGTTGTATTAGAGTGAATGAACACGTTTATTTATGGACCCTACCCATGGTACAAGAGACTGCATTTTTTAAAGGTATAATGTTAATTGGAGGTTCTTTAAAGGGAAAAGAAACAGCTGTGTACTACGTATTTAAAGAACAGGTTTAAGAAATCTGCTTAGTGGAAATTACCATTGCTATTTTAAAGCTGTCATGTGCAGTGGGTTTCTGGCAGTTCTGGAAAGTAGCTGTCCATGCTCTAATTTCCAAAACTTGTGACTGTGACCTTACTTGTTGGCAGGGGGAAGGGAATGGAGCTTTTATAGCTGTCACTAACTTAAGGATCTGGAGAAAGGGATATCATCCTGTGATCTAGGTAGGCCATAAACCCAATAATAACTGTCTTTACAAGAAATCCACGCAGGAGAGACACACAGAGAGCAGAGGTACTATGACCACAGACACAGAGGACAGAGGCCAGGAGTGTCAGGGCAGCCCCACAACCTGGAGGATGCAGGAAATATGTTTTTCCTAGAGAAACCATGGGGAGTAGGACTCTGCTAGGTTTTAAACTTCCAGCCTCCAGAGATTATGGTGTTAAGTCATAGAATTTGTGGTAATTTGTTCCATCAGACTCAGGTAACTGACTAATCTAGGCTCGATAAGAAATGAATCCTGAAAGAAGAAATGTTAACTACCCAGCAAGTACTTATTAATAAAATCTGCGCATAATTTAAGACATCCTAGATAGCCAACTAATAAGTATTCATGTCAGGCAAGTTGGTCAACCAAGTCAGATTTTTTTTGAGCCAAACAAGGGTTCTAATTCTCACTATGAAACACTAGCAAGTGTTCAAGACCAAGTTCCAGAAGAATGCCAAGGTGTAATTTTCATGATGCCCACAATTAGGCCATGAAATATGAGAAGCACCAAAACATATTCAGCATTTCGCCTTTCGACAATGTCAGCAACTCTTTTCCTTGTGAGACATATACAGAACATGTATAATTAGGTCATTTGAGAAATTAAAGGAGGACAAATACAGCACTGGCAATGTAAATGATGCTCTTATTGTTTACATCTATAAATAATCTGAAGCTCAGTCCCTCCAGATATCACCCCATTGGACTCCAAATAAAGCAGTAAAGAGATGCTGTAAGTCAGTTATCAAGTTAAAATTTATCTTTCTTGTTCATGCTGAAACTTCAGGAGTTTCAAGACAGATAATGATTGGGTTATAATTCTCATTTGCCAAGTTCCAAAAAGGATCATATTTCAAATGAAAAGTTCTGACCTTCTTCAGTTTTTTGTGCTTTTGTTTGTTTTCTGTTGTGCCAGTGGTAGCACTTAGGGCCTGGGCACAGCCCCTTAGTTTTTTTTCCCCAAGGCTGACATTCTACCACTTGAACCATAGCTCTACTTCTGGCTTTTTAGTGGTTAATTGGAAATAAGAATCTCATGAACGTTCCTGCCCTGACTGGATTTGAACCTCAATTCTCAGATCTCAGTCTCTTGACTAGCTAGTATTAAAAGTATGAGCCTTAGCACCCAGCTTTACTTTGGTTGTTGTTTTTTATGGTGGTGGTAGTCTTTGTAGGGTTTGAACTCAGAACCTTGGCACTGTCCCTGAGCTTTTCTGCTCAAGGCCAGTGCTCTACCACTTTGAGCCATAGCTTCACTTCCAGGTTTCTGCTAGTTAATTGGAGATGAGGGTCTCAGGCCTTTCCTGCCCATGCTGGCTGCAAACCTCCATCCTCAGACTCCAGCTTCTTGAGTAAGATTACAAGTATGAGTCATCAGCACCTAGCTTACTTTGGTTTTGTTGTTGTTTTAATGGCAACAAGAATAAAAAGATACTTGAAGTTATAATTTCAGGGTGGGTGCCAGTGGCTCAGGCCTGTAATCTGAGTTACTCAAGAGATTGAGATCTGAGGATCTCAGACTCTTTCTCTCCAACTAACCAGCAAAATGTAGAGCTGAAGGCATAGCTCAAGTGGTAGAATATTGGTTATGAGGGGAAAAAATCACCAAGTGCAAAGATAAGGTCTTCAGTTCAAGCTCTGGTATGAGCCTTCTCCCTACAGCTCCCCCCCCCCCCAATAAGTCTCTGTTAGTAGTTACATGTTCACCTGGACTGTGAAAGGCAATATTCACATAAAAATGAATTTTATAATCTGAGCAGTTTATTAATATTTATTTGGACTATCCTCTGGATTATAGGTAGAAATGTAATCTGAGACATTCATTTTCTATTATATAGTTATTTCAACCAATGTACTGGTAATCTTTAGTATGGTAAAATACTTCTGAACAGTTGCTTACAGTTCATGCATGATCACTACATAGAAAAGAGCATACTTTTTTAAGAGGTTACAATTTTTCAGAATACTGCAAAAATATTAGAAAATGCTCATCTAGTTTTTGCAGCTTTGAATGTAGGGGCTTTCCTATCCTTGAGATCATGTATAATGTAGCTATGTATCTTAAACTCATGAGAACCACAGAACTCATTAGAACTTTACTGAAAGAAGGTTCTTGGTTCCAAAGATGTGGCTCAGTGATAAAGGGTTTACCTAACCTGCCCCAGGGTCAGTCTACTGGGTTCAATCTCCAGCACCACAAAGA